ACGAAGAACAATCCCCCTTAAAATTAAAAAGTACTTTTCATTTTGAAATAATTTTAGAGTTAACAAAAAAAGTTGCAAACAGCACAAATATTCTTCACGCAGATTTTGCAAACAGAAACCACTCACAGAACTGCAGTACGATGACCTGAATCAAGACATGACCACGGACATGATGCCATGACCTACAGATCTGACTCGGATTTCACCAGCTGGCCAGCCAGTGTCCTTTTCCTGCTCCAAGAGCCCGCCCAGGACCACTGGTCAGGTCACCTTTGCCCCTAACGTTAAACTATCATTTATCACCTTGACAGCTTTTAGGATAATTGGCCATTTGTTTTTTTAAAACGAATTTCCCTGACTCTGGATTTGTCTGACACAAGAGTACCTCAGAAGGGAGGCCGTGCCCTTCTTGGAGCAGCACCCCACATACAAGGCCTCATTTCCGGTGTACATGGCGCTGGAACCACCACAGGCGTTCCTGGGATCTGGCTGAGAGCTGGGATGATAAGCTTGGGTTCAGTGGGATACGTTCCTGTGGGCTGCCGTGACTCAAGACACAGCGTATGCAAGAATAAACACACCATGCACGTGTTCTCTTTCGACGGAAAGCGCAGAACACAGAAACACTCAGAACACCTGTACTTGCAGGCACGAACCTGTGGCAGGCCAGCAAACAGGTCTGAAAGTGGATCGAACGTTTGCTGCGTCCCCAGGACTTGGACTGCGCATCAGTGTGCCCGACGCATCTTGTCGTGATGGAGTCCAGTGGGTCCACGCCAAAGAGCAGACAAAACTGTCACCAATGCAGCACACCAGCTCGACGCAGGAGTGACAGCCGTGAGTCACGGGACCTGGCCCACAGACCACTGGACTATACAACTGCACATCCCAACAGCACAGCAGCAACTTAGACTGCATTCGAATTGCTCCTGTGTATGAACGTCTTGCTCATTTCCAACCTCAAGACAGGCTGCAGCAGCCTCGTAGAAGCCAAAAACAAAAACAGAACTAAAACAGGAGTATTTGTCTGTAATCTGTGAACTTTTTCCCGTTCAAAATATTCACTCTTCAACCTAATTTTGAATCGTTTTTATTAGAAAGTGTCTTCCCACAACTCCAGTTGCCTGACCTGTGGTTGTCACAACTCTGCTCCCTGACAGAAGCATTTCTAATCCCACCAAACAAAACAAGTCAACTGCCTCTGTCCGGTGGTTCTCGCAGATCTGCCCCGAGGGCAGCGACAGCGTTTCCTCCAGCTTGACGACAGAATAATGAGAATGGTATTCAGCCGGGGCCGGGGGACCTGCGGCCTCAAGGAAATGTGGCCTTCCTGGTCTTCAGTGTGGCCTTTTGACTGAACCCAAATTTTACAGAACAAATCCTTTTATTAAAAGGGGTGCAGCAGAGATACATGAAGCTTTTCTTGCCTCCTTTGGTGCTTAAAAAAGAATGATCTTGCAATCGGAAGGCCGCAGGTTCCCCACCCCTGTGCGGGGCTGTGACGTCCGCTCTGAACCAGGCACGGGCTCTAAGCGCATGAACACGTGTCAACCCGTGAGAGGAAACCAGGACTCAAGAAAACTAGGTCACGTGCTCCCCACCACACAGTGCAGAACTGACAGGGTGACTTTGCTCCAGGCAACCTGACTCTGTGTCCTGGATGCTTTGGTGCCACCCCATATTAGCAGACACTGCTGCGGCAAACGGAACCCAGCAATGGCGCCAACCCTTCACATCTCCCTGTATCCACCCTCTGCCGTGTGACTCTATAGTTCCTTCCACTGGAGAGGTGGAGCCTGTTCCACACCCTGGGGTGCTGGATTTGGCCACGTGATGTGCTTTGCCAACGGAAGGTCAGCAGGTGAGACAGGACCAAAGCTGTGACGAGCGCCTTTGTGACTGGGCTCGTTCTCTTGTGCACCTGTTGTGGACACGCCCAGGCCAGACCGCTGGTCCCAGGAGGAAGAAGAGGGGTGCACGGCACAGAGCCCCACCTGGGACAGCTGCAGACAGACAAGTCCATGGGCTGAGTACTTCGTCACACTGAGCGCTGCTGAGATTTTACAGCCATTTGTTCCACGGCACTACTGGGGCAACAGCTAACTGGTATGACCTGTGTCCCCGACCTTTTCCTGACTGCAAACTCAGTGGCCTTAGACTGCACAAATGAATTACACACATACAGCCGATGCCACGGTTTACTCAAATGACTGAAGATCAGAATCTGACGGATGGCGAGGATACTTGGATTCTTTTTTTTAAAATGCTGTAACACAGGTAAATCAGATATGCTCCATTCACTTGAAGACACTATTTATTTTGCTAAAGTCAAGCAAGCTGATCTGGCAATAGGTGAGTGGTAAGCGTCGAGCACGAAATCTGTACACATTTGCCACGGTGGGCTGAGGGGGGCACAGGCTGCGGGAAACACTCCGCTCGGCAGGGCGTCTACAGCTGTGCCACAACAGAGGGCGAGAGGGGACGGCCACCACCTAAGAATGCCAAGAGCTGACCATTAGCACCAGATTGCTCTCATGTGCAAGTATATACAGAGTTATGTACACAGACTCACTCGGATCTTTGGGTCCCTGCCAAGCACTCAAGAGGCAAACAGCGGGGATGGACAAGACAGCTGTCATTACCTGTGCTTTGCTGAAAGGGAACTAGAGCACTGTATATTGCTATGTGTAAGAGAAAGTCCTAAAAAGACATCAAAAGCCTGGGTACAAACGCACAAATTTGATGACTGACATTTCACACATGTATCATCAAAACGACCACAATACTGTACTTGAGGGGGCAGAATGACAGGTGAAAGCTTTGTGAAACGAAGTACTCTGCTAGGACTCGGGCTGTCTCCCCGAGGAGAAAGTGGAGGCTGGTGGACAGCCAGCTTCACCTTTGACCAACGTTCACAGCAAGTGACCGTCAGGTGAGGAGGACGCTTCATCGGCAGGACAGGGCTGTTTCAAGGTAGCGATAGCTTAATTTAACAGGAATAAACACTGCTGGAAAGACACTTGTCCCTTCGGCACTGGCAGGCTGCCCAGAAAGGCGGTGCGTTTGCTGCCTGCGTTGCCGGAGCCTGCGGGCGTGGACGCGGCTGCGCAGAGGCATCGACACCGGCGCAGCGCCGGCTCGGCCAGGGCGGACTCCAGGCCCGTAAGGCATCTGCGTGTGTGCGTGTGTCTGCGCGCTTTGGTCAGGCTGTGGTCTCCGCTGGCAAAGGGAACTCTCCCCCTGCTGGACAACTTCTTTCGTGGGAATAAGGGGAAACGAGGATTTTAAACTGACCCCCGACACAACAAATGCCCCAGTATCACCTACACATGCAGGCATCGCAGAGATCCACTCACCACTGACCACGCAATTAGTCAGAGGAACGGTTTTCGAAGAAATACACCAAATCTACAATTATTAGATAAAAATAAGTAAGTTAGGACCAAGCCATCCGCGGATGAACATCTTTTCATGTGCTCATTTGCCATGCATATATCCTCTTTGGTGAACTGTCTATTTAAGCCTTTTGCCCACTTTTTAATTAGGCTGTTTCCTTATTATTGCGTTTTGAGAGTTCTTTATAAATCTTGGATACAAATCCTTTGGCAGACACAGGATTTGCAAATACTTCCTCCCAGTCTGTGACTTGTCAATTGGAAACTGACAGCAAGACAGTGCTTTTTTTTTTTTTTTTTAAATGAATAAGGCTCTCTTTAGAATCTTGCTGTTTCAACCAATAAAAAGGGTACAGAACCTTTAAACTGTGGCAGAAAAAGGTC